CCTATAACCTGCTTACACATCTATAAAACAAAGAAAAAAAGTTTCATCGAAAACGGTGCACTCGTTTTCCCGTGAAAAGCGAACAAAAACACGTCCGCTAACGTTACCGACAGACAGACAGAAATTGAGATAAGGCTTGTTTCGGCTTCTCTGGTGTATGAAACGTGAAGATATGCAAAAAGTACACTATTCTAAGCAATGTACAGACAAAACTCTTATTTTATTTATTATAGAGAATAGAGATATAGCATGTTTGTCTTTATAATAAGTACCTAACTTTATTACTTGCTATACGTCACCCTAAAGCCAACGAGGGTTGCCATGTTGACGTTTTTCAGCGAAAGTCAGAGTAAAGTCAGAGCAAAGAATTGTCCATATGATTTACTAATAAAGAAATCGTTTTTTCGTCATTTATTATCCTTTATGTTTTGTTTTGTTTGATATTAAGCCCAAAGCTATGCAATGGTTATCTGTGCTGTGCCCACCACGGGTATTGAAACCCTGATTTTAGTGTAATAAGCTTACAGCTTACATGCTTACCGCAGTGCCACAAGGGGGCGTATTGCTAATGTGTTTTTATGTGTATATTTATATATATATATATATGCTTAAAATGTGCTCGAGCAGCCTTGAAATTGTATTATTAGGTTTCATTGTTTGATGAAAGTTAATATAGATTTACTTATATATATATATACGTGCATGGGTGAATTTGTCGAAGATTTTATGCCAGTATTAATATACATAGGACCTGGCATGGCCTAGTAGTCAGGATGCACGACTCGCGAGACCAAAACCCGTCACTGAACATGCTTGCTCTATCACTCATGGGGCTTTATAGTGTGACAGTCAATCGAACTATTCGTTGATAAAGAGTTAGCAGTGGGTAATATTGACTAGCTGCATTACTTCTAGTGTATGACCTCAAAATTAGGGACGGTTAACGCAGATAACGCTCGGGTAGCTTTGCGAATATCCACACGCACGTCATTTCCACCCTCCGCTTGAGTTTTAAAGCGTTTTTAAAAATTATACTATACCTCTAAATTCAATATTTATAACTTAGTTGAAGCTACGTTTCGTATTGTGCTGCACAAAATCACAACACATATGAACAGTTATGTTTATGACAAGTAAAGTTTCCTTTTGCGTTTGGAATTTTCGTACACAAGGGTAGGGCCCTTAACCGTCCCTAATTTTGAGCTGATAAGCTAGAGGAAGAGCAGCTAGTCAACAGCACCCACCGCCAACTCTTGGGCAACTCTTTTACCAACGAATGATGGGACTGACCTTCACATTATAACGTCCCCACGGTTGAAAGGGCGAACATGTTTGGTGGGACGGGGATTCGAGCCCGCGACCCTCAGATTGCGAGTCGAGCGCTGTAACCACCTGGCCATGTCTGGCCGACCAGAAGGAAGGCAATGAGTAAGCAACATCCTACCACCCACCATCCACAGTAAGGGATTCACTGTTACTCTCATGGGGGGGGGGGAGTATTTTTTGGCATGGTATGGATTCGAACCCGGCTCGCTAGCTTTGAAATCCATGGTTCTTTCACAAGGCAAACCTGCGCCTGAAAAGAAGATTAATTAATTAACGCAAGTTATAAATTGCTGTTCGTTGATTCCGTGTTATTATATAACTTAGTGGTTTTTGATTAATTAGACATTGTTCTTGTTCATGAGTAAACCGTAAAAAATCAATAACACCGTGGAGTCTATAGAACCTCGTACGTTGGATTTAGAATCGTATAATCTCAGTTTTGCTAATCCATAACCTTATGCTTGAATTATTAAAGCCCCACCCCGAGTGCTTATAACTTTAAAATTTGGGTTTCGATACCCGTGGTGGGAAAAGCAGCAGATAGCCCATTGTGTTGTTTTGCACTTAACAACAAACAAACGAGTTTTCAAAAAAATTAATTGGTATTATCAAGTTAGAAATAGTGATGTCCTAATCTATTTTGGAACAAAATTCATAAATAAATTGTTGGAAATGAGGCAGGTAAATCAGACCAATAAGAAAGGCCTAACACACCTTCTATGTTCACAATTTGTCCATTAGAGACACCTTGTGTTAGTAAATTATAAACTAATATCAGCAAGAACGTTCACTTCCTAAGATTTATGTTTGTTTGTAATGAAGCACAAAGCTACACAATGAACTATCTGTGCTCTGCCCACCACGGGTATCGAAACCCGGATTCTAGCGTTGTAAGTCAGCAGACATACCGCTGTGCCACTGGGGGGCAAGATTTATGTATCTGTTATCAGGAATATTTTCGATGGCGTTGCAGCCTTTCCTTCCTATTAGATACGCGAATTCGAAAACAACGTTTATCATCAATCGATAAATCCAGTAACATATTAAATAATTATATTCAGTACAAAAACTCTTCAAAACTGCACAAGTTTCAAAGTGAGCTGTATCTTCGTATTTCAGTTTTTGTACAGTATCTTTGTCTCTTAAAGATATGTGTACGGGTGGGTACAAACAAATAGCAGATGGGCACGAACGGGAATCTTTAATTAACCATTGACAAACCTTCATTTAAAGTGCCCTTGTAACCAAGAATCCAAATATAATGAAAGTTGTCCATCTAATATTCCTTTATACCCACTTACACTTATGCGATTTTTTTTCCCATTTGTGGTAACGGGACGCAAACCATGGAACCTCAGTTCCACAACCCGGCACGCTAATTATTTGGCTACGTTTGTCCCGTTTACCTTGTTGGTCCTCGGATCAGTTGGAAATTCTTGATCAATTATCCGTCAGAACGCTAATTTAAGTCACTACAGATACTTGTTTATCTATTGGATTTCGTGCAAAGCTACACGAGAGCTCTTTGCACTAGCAGTCATTAATTCTGAAGCGATGAACTAGACGAAAGGCAGTTAATCAACACCATCAGTTTTTGGAAATGCGATTTTTTTTTTTATTTGTGATAACGGGACGCAAACCACGGAACCTCAGTTCCACAACCTGGCACGTTAACCATTGGGCTACGTTTGTCCCGTATACAAATGAAACCACGTTAAATTCAGTGCCAACAACAATAGACTGGATGATGACGTTTCATTACGCATGCGCGTGCATTCCCAAAGTGATAGTGGGATATCAAAGAAGAGTCCCCAATGGGACAGCGATAAGTCTACGTGCTTTACAACGATAAAATTCGGGGTTCGATTCCCCGCGATGAACATAACAGCTAGCCCAATGTGGCTTTTCTTAAAAAACAAACAATCAAAGAGGATCATTTGTTTACAACATCACCGTTCAATCTATCAGGATTTGTTTTAAGTGAGCTATCAGCGCCGTGTCCACAGGAGGCCCTGACTTTTAAACTTTATAAGCGTTCAAGCTAGAGGGCAACAGTTGAGGTAGACGACATACTGTATTTTTAATAGGAAATGTTTGTTCGTTTGTTCAGGATATTTGCTCAAAAGTTCACAAGGACTCTTTACTTTATCCATCCCTAGTTTCGAACTGATAGACTTGAGAAAAAGTAGCTTAAGAATAGCATCAATCACTAACTCTTGACTTTCTCTAAACAAATAGTGAGAGTGGACTGAGGCCTGGTGATTAGTGCTCTCGAACCGCAAGTTCGAATCTCGTCCACAAACATTTTCGCTCTTTCAGCCGTGAAGACGCTATAATGTGACGACAGTCCCACTTGTCGTGATGAATTC